TCGGCCCAAGCTTGACGCTGGAGTTCCCGTGAACTTTCTGGATTCAGCTTGTTCAAGTGAACCGGCGAGGGGAAGCTGGACAGCAATCGACAAGCCGCAGATGCATTTCGTGGATGAGATCGGCTTGATGCAGCCGAGCAGCAAGTATGGCATCTTTGTCGATCGCCTCTGGAACTCAGCAGCGTTCCAGTTGCCGCAGCTGAAGCAAATGATGAAGCATCCAAGGGTGAAGGAGTCGACGTGTGCCAGTTCCACTTGCGACGCCTGAAGCCGGGGGCCAAGATCCGGAAAGCTCCTGGTCCCCAGCGACTCACGCGTCAAGACATTGGGCCATCGACGCGACGGGACACGTCGACATCGCCAATTGGAGGGGTCGCGCTACGCCCGGCAGGCTGAGCACCGCGCCCGGGTGTTTCCGAGGGCTGTCCTGCGGGCCCACCGACGCAGCAATATGACCTACATGATGGAGTGCGGGGTCTAAGCCACTGGCTACCTCGTGGATCTCATGGGGGAGCGAGTCCGACAAGTAGTCCTACGGCGGAAGCGTGGGTGACTTTCATGAGCTGCTGGTGAAGGCACTTGACGGCCCAGGCTGGGCGCGAGTGGGGCGCCGTCGAATCTTCAACCTCGACGTGGACATGGCATTGCAGGACTTCGAGAATGCCGACATCTAGCCGAAGGTGGATCGCACTGCCATGCTGAAGGTTCAGATGTGGCTTAAACCGGGGCCAGTTGCGGACGACGTCGGAGCTTAAGCGACTCAGTTCGGACCTGGGAGTTCGAGTGTTCGAGGAAGGATTCGGCAGTTCTGCGCCAGTTGCATTAGAACCTGGGACATCCGAGCATGCAGCTTCTGCGAAGTCGTTGATGTTTTCAGGGCGCCCAGCGGAGGTGGGTGAAGGCGGCGAAGCCGTTGCGGCGTGCTTCGTGCATGAAGAAGGCCAAGGAGAGGGTCGCCAGGCCAGCGCGACTTTCGCGCGGCACGGATTTCAGCGTGCAGATTGGCCTGGACTGCAACGCCATCAAGGGCGTGGGCGGCACTATTTGGGATTTTCTATCAGTGGTAGATCTGGGTGCTACTTTTCACGTTGTGGGTGTGGTTGAGAATCGTCGTTTGGAGACCTTGGCGCGAGTTTTCTTTCATATTTGGGTTAGTTGGGCTTGGCTTCCATCGAGTGTGGTTGTGGCTTTGGAGCGTGGCTTTGGTTCGGTGTGTCAGGAGATGCTGGATCAGCTCCATTGCCATGTGGTACCAGTTGTGGACAGGCTGCTCGGCATCTTGGACGGACCGAGCGACGGCGGGGGCTGGTGGAAGGAGCTGGCCGATAGGACGATCGCACGCACTCCAGGGTTCGGGGAGTCAGAAATGCGCATCGTAGCCTCGGTCGCCACCGAGGCCAAGACCGCGCTGCTCCGTTGCCGCGGATTCAGCCTGGGGCAGGTGGTGTTCGGCAAGCGCGTCGTCTACCTGTTGATCTAGTTGACGGAGCTCACCGCGACGCAGCACATGAAGGAGCCTCGATGCAGCCCGTGGAGAGGCAGCTCAAGATGCGGATTGCGGCTCGCAAGGCCTTCGTGGTTGTTGCAGAGCGACAGCGCTCTCAGGAATGCGATGCTCGGACGAACTCGAGTGCGTCCGCGTCCTCTTGGGCAAGGAACCCATGCTTCCACGATCCAAAGCTCAAGAACGGCTCCATCAAGAAATGTGCTTGGTTGGGTCCTGCGGTGATCGTAGGCAAGCAAGGCCATAATCACTTAATATCGCATCGTGGTTTTACCAGGCTCGTGGCTCCTGAGCATATTCGGCCCGTCACTACTGGGGAATTTAGGTGGCGTGGTGTCGATGATCAGCAGCATGGGAAAGCTACTGCACAAGTGCGGCGTCTACGCCGGGATGCCGACGTCAGCGCCGACCTGGGGTGCGAGGACCTACGTGGAGAAGAGCCGCCTCCTGCAGATCAAGCTGTGGAGATGGAAGCCGGTCCGCCTCGTCCTGGGCCGACAGCTGAAGTTGCGCCGCCTGCCGAGGTCGGACTCCCAGTTCAACCGTCTGCGACGACGCCGTCGTCGTCGGCCGCGGCGCAAGCGGCACTACCTGGCCAAGTTTAGTCTCGACTCGGGGGGAGTTCCCACGGCGCCAGGTGGGGTGTGGCCCCTTGGGCGACGTGCCATATTCCAACCGATGGGGTCGACGACGAGCAGAGACAGCGCGGCAAACCGCGCGACGAGAAATGCGACGAGCAGGCCAACCGTGCTACGTCGTCACCGATGACGAGAGCGCCAAGGGGGCTTCCACAAACTCGAGCTTCGCGGAGGGAGCTCGAGCGCAAAGCGAGAGGCTCAGGAAGAAGCTACTGGACCAGGGTCGCCTGGAAGGACATTTCGGATGACCAGATGCCCTTCTACCATAAGGCCATTGCGAAGCGCTGGGAGGAGTGGAAGAAGCGTGGTTCGGTGGAGGCGCCATCGCCGGGAGAATCTGAGCGCGCTCGTCAAGGCAACGACAGAAGCTTGCCATCTGGGTATGTGTTTCGCGACAAGAACGCCGACGTCCGCGCGGGGGCCAACCCAGTTCCCGTGAAGGCGAAGGCCCGTCTATGTGCAGGAGGTCATTGAGGTCCAGACCGGTAAATTGAAGCGCTTCGCTCGGATGCGCCTGCAGTTGCGCGCGCCTGCGCGCTGCTGGTCTTCGCCGTTGCTACCGGGCATGGATGGGGGCCGGTATGCGCGGACATCATGTTAGCCTCAATGCAGAGCGAGGGGCGGCCCAGAGGCAAGCCATCTCTCATGGAGCAGCCGCCCAAGGTCCGCCTGGATTTTATACCTGGACAAGCTCTTCGCGTGGTATCTTCGGTTTGTCTACTGCTCCCCAGCAATGGTCGGCTACTCTCAAGACGGCGCTACTCAAGATCGAGCTTTTGCGTTCTGATGGTCGTAATTCCAATCGTGTGCAGAGTTTGGTAGATCCAGTTTTACTCGTGGGACGTGGATCAGATGGAACTCAGAAGTCGTCGTGTTTGTTCACGGGGATGACCTGTCGATCGCCGCCAGCGCCTCCACCGGCCGCAATCCCATCGGGTCTTATTTCCATTCGGCGGTTGGCGAGGTTTTGGATTCACATTCTGTGCGAAGGCTGTGGTCTGCAGACCGGGCAGAGCTACCTGTGTGTCTCGGTGCGCGTCCGCCGAGGAGCCAGCGCCGCCGGTTTTCGAGCAAGGGCCGCGAGAGATATGTGGGAAGTCCAGCTCCGGAGACTTAGGCCGCCGATAAGCAGAGCCTGAGGGAGGCCTAGGCCAGCATGCTATTCAGACCCGTCCTGATCTAGCAGCTGGAGTCTCAATGTCTCAGCGGATGCAGAGCCCCGACGGTGGCAGACCGCGTCGAGACGGACGGCGCCGCGCCAGAGGCGAATTGCTTCAGGAGACAGCGATCACAATTTCCAAGATGGAGGAGTAGTCGTGTGTTCTTGTGTGTCTTGACGCCGCATGGGCGAACGTCGACGAGCCTGGCGACAAGGTCACCAGAACTGCCTGGTGGTGTGCGCGACGAGCGAGGACTGCATGTGCTGTGGAGGCCCTGGAGCGACTCAGCGCCAAAAGCCAAGCCTGGTTCACGATCTTTGTGGCCGAGAAGAAGATGCTCAAGAACGGCGAGGGCAAGGCTGCATTGGTGGACTGGTGATCCGCTTCTATTCGAAGGGTGTGCCGCAGTAGTCTCGCTGGTGAACCAATGAGTGCAGTTGATGCGTTGTGTGCTGCTATTGTGCTGAGAGCATCGTCTCTGAGTGCCTTGTAGTAAAATTTGAACATCGACGAGTTCGAACCGAGTGTGTGCTCGATTCAGTGTGTGACAGAGTGCGCTTCTTTGATTGATATAGCACATCGTGAAGGTGCGGTAAGGTTGCCAGCTCTACACCATTCGGTTTTGGGGATTTGATCGGTACGCGGGAATTGCTCGAGGACG